TTATTTCTAAAGAAATAAGAAAGAAAATACACTCTCATTTTCAAGAAGCTATTTTCTTAAGCTATAGTAAAGAATCTAAAGCCTATAGACTCATAAATACATAAAATCAACAAATCTATATTTCAAGAGATGTTATCTTTAATAAAAATAAATATGATGTAAAAACAAATCTATTCTTGTAAAAGGACAATGAATAGCTTTTAATTAATTTTGAATTTTTAAACACCTTTCAACAACTATAATGCCAAAGAAAAATCATACTTTATGCTTAAAGAATGTCTTTACAACCAATACAACCACCATAAGATACACATATGTTTGATATATAACAAATATATAATAATTTTTAAAATATGGGAGGATAACCATCTTCTCACATTGATGTCATTGAAATCTTTTTTCAACTATCATTAAAAAAGATGAAGACATCTTATCTCTTGAAGATGATGAAGTCAGTTCTCTATTAAAAGAACTAAGTCTTCATTCTAGTTCTTGACCTACAACAACTATCAAACCAACCAAAAGATTATTAGAGTCTATATAAGGAAGAAAAGAATATAAACAATTATATAATAAAAATCACCAAGGTGACTTTGTTTCTACCAACATAGAAGCTCCAACATCTATTCAAGAAGTAATGGAGAGGTTTGATGTTCAAGAATGGCAAAAAACAATCAATGCTGAAATTACATTCTTAGACAAAAATAATATATGGAAAATGATCAATTACCTCTTTATAGAAAATCAATCAGCTCAAAGTGGTTTTTAAAAACTAAAACTAAAGTTGATAGAACTATTGATAAGTATAAATCAAATCTAGTTGTAAGAGGTTTTATCCAAATTTAAGGTATGATCATACAAAGACACTCTCTCTTATAGTCAAACTTAATTCTATCAAAGTTCGTTTTATCTTAGCTACTCAATTTAATTTGGAAATACACTAATTAGATGTTAAAATAATATTTTAAAATAGTTTTATAGAAGAAGATATCTATATGATTATTCTTGAAGATTTATCTATTATACATACTAATAAGATATTTAAATTAAATAAATCTTTATATAACTTTAGAAAATTTTCTAGGGCTTGGTATGAAAGATTAGGCCAATATTTAATACTTTGTAAATATTAGAGTCTAAAATCATATACAAATATAAATATAAAAAGAAAAAATAAAAAAGATTTTATCATAATTATAATCTATATTGATGACTATATAATTATCAATAATGAAATAATCTTAAATTAGTAAGTCAAAGACATTCTATAATAAAAAATTTACATATTAGATGAAGGTGAAATCTATTACTCCTTAGGTAATGCCATCATAAGAAATAAAAAAGAATGATGGATAAATCTTCATCAAGAAAAATACTTAATAAATAAACTTAATAAACTTAATATGTTGAATTGCAACCTATTAAGTATACCATTTTAACCAAGAATTTGTTTAAGTAATAAAGAAAAACTTACCTCATAAGATTACATATATTCTGAAGTTGTTGGCAGTCTCATGCATACCATTGTTAATTCTAGACTAGATTATACTTATGCCATTAGTAATTTAGCACAATATCTTTTCAAATTAGGATCTTTATACATTCAAACTTTGAAAAGAAAAATGAGATATATAAAAGATACATTAAATTTTGGAATAAAATATCAAAAATTTTCACAAGGTAATTTTTTATATGGATATTTTTATACTGATTAGGCATGTAAAAAAGATATTCATTACTCCACTTCTAGATTTTGCTTCTTATTGGTTAGAGGAGTTATCTTTTGAAGCAATAAGAAACAACAATCCGTTGTTTTATCATCTACAAAGTCAAAATACATGGCCTTAACTAAAGCAACAACTAAAGTAATATGGATGCAAAAATTATTGTATGAGATTAGATTTTTCCAACATGAAGCAACAATAATATACTGAGATAGTCAAAGTACAATTGCTCTTAGTAGAAATCCCAAGTACCATTTTTGAAGCAAACATGCAAATAAAAAATACTATTTTACAAGAAAAAAGATATTTTCCAATAAAATTAAACTACAATATTTGCCAATTATACATATGACAGCTGATATATTTATTAAATCTCTTCAAAAAAAAAAAAAAAAAAAAAATCAAATGCATATCTCAATTAAGTGTGTGTAAAATTCTTCTTAAATTAAAATAAGAAACTTATTCAACAAATATTTTATTATATTCACAAAAAACTATTTTAAAAAGATTTAGATCTATTTTAAGAAAAAAATCTCAAATTCTTTAAATATTTATGGATTTTAAATTTATGATAAAGAGAGAAATAAGTAATTGTAATAGAATATTTTAAATAGACAAAAGAAGAAAATATACCTCATTAGAATTCAAGACATTTTACATAGGCAATTGCATTATGCATCAAAAAATATAATTATACAATCTACATCAAAATAGAATGGCAATACACAAGAATAGGACCCTTCTTGAGTCCCTACATAATATGAATTTTGTATGTGATGTGTTGGCTTATTTTTGGAATAAAGCAGTTAATACAACTTCATATATCATGAACAAGTGTCTTTCTAAAAGAAATGATAAAATTATACTTAAAAAATAGTACACAGATCGTAAATCTATAATCTAATATCTTAGAATTTTTAGATTATTGGCATATGTATACATACTTGAACATTAATATAATAAATTGTAGTCTAAATCAATGAGATATTTTTTTTAGTAATAAAATTTTATTACTAAAACATATAAGTTTAATTTATAGATAAGAACAATCATCATAAGTAAAGATATTATTTTCAATAAAAACATCTTAGGATTTAACAAAATATTGCTTCCAACCTCAATAGATCAGAATACAAGATTGGATCTTACTAGTACAATTGAGAATGTTCATTCTTTTGATGTAAACAAAAATAAATCTCTAAAATTTTACCAAAAGCCAATTGTAGAAGCTGATCATAAAAAATTAGGCTTGACATTGCCAAATCAACTATCATCTTTAGTTGTAGTATTGTCACCAATATATATCTACTATAATTATTATTTATTTAATATGAATAGGTAGAAGTAGATAAAAGTAGGTTAATTTCAAAATACCTTCTAAAAAAACTTTCTAAAAGCTTTTTAGACGTTTTTTTGACTTTATATATGTTTGTAGTTGATTGATAGATTAGAAACTTGATCAACAAGCTATCTATGTATCACATATGTTGATAGCTTACAAAACAAGCTAACTATGTGGCATCCATATAGGAAACTTACCTTACAAGTAAAATTACATGTCATGCAAAGTCAAAACATTTTTGGAGGTCTTATAGAATGTTGCCACATAGATCCTAGGTAGATGGTATATATAGAGGCAAGAGTGAAGCCTTCTTCACTCTTGTCAATTTCTTTCTTATTTCTAATCTAATTTCAAGAGTCTCTAGTTTCTTTGGCTTTTGACAATAGCCATTCCAATTTCCTTTTGATATACATACTTTTTATTTTTATTTTTGTCACTTTTTTTTTTATACAAATTTTCCAGGTTTATGCATCTTCTTTCAATTCATGTCCTTAACAAACACTTACAATTACAATTAGAAGATTAATATAAATACAATACAACTAAAAGAAGATATTTATGTAATAAATTTTAAAAAATCCAATTCCTTTAAAAAAGCTAAATATAGTCTTAGCTATAAAAGAAGAGCTTGATTTTATTTAGAAGAAACAAATGTGGGTGCTAGTATCTAGACTAATAGGAAAAACTACCATCACATCAAAATAGGTTTTTAAAACCAAATTAACTATTGATAGAAAGATAAATAAAATTCAAGATAATATTAAATGTTTAGGAATTTGAACAAAAAGAAAGAATTGACTATCAAAATATGTATGAACGGAGAGTAAAATGATCAAAATTAAAACTTTTGGTGATCATAGCAACCAAAAAATAATAGAGCATCTAACACCTAGATATTAAGTTATTTTTTTAAAATGGAGACCTTGAAGAAGAATTTTATATAAAATTGTCTTAAGATTTGTTTCTTCTTTTGGTATATGATCAAAATAAAGTGTAATTCTTTAAAAAAAAATCTATGGTTTCAAATAAACAAATAGAAATTGGTACATAAAAATCCATATCTTCTTCATAGATTTTAAAATAATACAAGTTAGAATTAGTTACAAATTATATTCTTCCTAAGTGGGTGAATTTACTATTACATAGCTTATATATAAAGATGATTTATTAAAAGTAAGAAGTCATACAAATTGAATAGAAGCATTAAAATAAAACGTTCAAAACAAAATTTGAGATTTCAATATTATACCTACTTACCTTCTACATTGGCATAGAATTTGTATGCATCTTGTTAGGAATGTTACTAATTTAAAGGACCTATGATCATAACTTAAAAAATTTGGACTTATCTTACTCAGTTGCCTCAATCATTTTATATCAGCCTACAACCTCATTTCAATGCCACCAATAGGATTTTTCCCTATATCAAAGATATGTGTAGTTACAAAATATTTATACCAAACAGTGCAATAGAAGAACTGGAAGTTTTTGTTGGTTTAGATTGGAGAAGGGATTTGGACAAGAGAAAGTCAATATCAGGCGTGTTGTTCAAGATTGGTGAAGCACCACTCTACTAGAGCAATAAAACACAATCTATTATAGTGCTTCCAACAACAACAAAGGTAGAGTATCAAGCTCTTTTTGATGGAATACAAGAAATTATGTGGTCGTGTCTAGAATACATTATAACCAATGCACAATAAAATTGGTAAAAATTCTTGTTCTATATGCAAGATAAAATCATATTGAGCTTTAACATCATTACATCAAAGAAAGAGTGGAAGCCATGCAGAATGAGGAGCATGTCTGGCCCCATGCCTCTATTGTACTGAAAATCAGCCGTGACTTTCAAGTTCCTACAATGCCATCATAAGGTGTCAGGGAGGGTGTTGAATACAATTCATACTTCATGATAATGTGCTGACATGTCAGCATTGGATAAAATTATGAAACTTTACTTTGTGCAACTTGCTTTTACATGGAAGTAGGTGATGAAATAGGAACCAACTAATTCTTTAAGCTAGAATCCCTCTTGATCATAGAATTGCTAGACTTACCCTTAACCGTTATACATTGGAAGTGGATAAGCGTCTCCGCATGTACATATACAATGCTAATATCATAATGTATACACTGTTGAAGTTACGATCTGATCTTAGAACAATGTGATTTTGGTTCAATATCCTCATGGTACTCTCCTTCAACATAAAAAACCAGTATAATCCTTACTTTGCATACTAGATTTCTCAATCGCTTGATGCGCATAATTCTGATAATACAAAACCTGGCCTCTTATTCTCTGTGCACAGGTTCATCTAGACAGTCCTTACTCGTTTCAAAGTTGGCAACAAACAGTCACACGATTAAAACGACTTTTCCTGTGGAATGACCCTCGATGCTCCGAGCCCATGCATCTGGGGCTTTGGCCAGTGGGAACGTCGAGTCCACTATGACTTTCAGCTTCCCTTGCTCTACCAAGTCTGTGACCGACTGCAAGTCCGTAGTGTTCTTTGCATCAAGCACAAACGGCAAGAAGCTCTGCTTGGAGAATGTGATCTTGTTGTACCAATTCCGGAGGACAGTCCTCAAGGTGGGGGTCATATCTACGACAGTGCCTCGTTTTGTGAGCTGGGCCTTGAAGGCCTCCAGTGGCCGGTAAGGTGCCAATTGCACCACCACGTCGTACTTCTTCCCAGAGGGACTCTTGAAGCTCGCCCCCTCGGGGGTCTTGTAATCCAACACCTCGTCGGCTCCCAAGCTTCTCACAAGCTCCATGTTGCGCGCTCCACATGTGGCTGTGACGAAACAACCACAAAGCTTCGCAATCTGCAGACATGTTTCACATCCATGTGCAACCCCTCAGATCGTATCCAGAGCCAATTACCTGAGTCGATGTGCAGTTTTTTACGCAAATTGTGTGATTGTAGCATTAAAAACCTTTATGACCAGTTTTATCGCTTTTCTCACGAAAAATAAATAAATAAAGTGATGGTCTTCATCAAGACATAAATACTAGTGTGTGTCTCATGGAATAGGAGCATTTGGTCAGCTGTCAATCACTATTCTGGTTTCGGAAAATGTCATACTCATACAGCGAGTGTAGGATGCCGTCGGTTGGTGCATTAATTTGAACGTTGTAAGACTTTTTTGTTTCTGAGGTTTTACTGGTTGTTAAGCACGATACTCTTCAAAAACGCCCTGGCGGACGGTTCTAGACAAATCTGGTGTGGATGAGAAACTGCTACGTGCCTGTGTCCAGAAGATGCCAACCCCACCCGAAGCCGCAGTGATGAGAATGTTCAACTTAGGACCTGAGCCGTCTAGCTTAAGGCCAATCAAATGGACGGCACTTTGGAGGGCAGTCATTGCAGCCACTGGCAACGAGGCCGCATCCACAGCAGAAATGCTTGGGGGCCGCTTCACAGTGGATGTTACGGGAGCCAGAGCGTACTCAGCAAATCCGCCTCCTCTCTGCACGAACTCTCAAAATGTCCATACGTTATCCCACATACATCTGGTGCTCACCGTCAACCTCGTGGACCCTAGATAAGATTATATCACTTGCATTTGTATTTCTACCATACATTCCGGTTTATTGCTTCCTCTACATGCACGTTAAGTGCAGATTCATGTAGAAGGAGCTTTGGAGAACTGCAACTTCAGTATCTGCAAACCTGTAGAACTGTAGTACATAAACTTTGATGAGTTGTTTAACGGATAGAAACGGACTTCCTTGTGCCTGTTTAAAACGTTAATACAGGACGGATGCTCTAGCTTGATTCTACAATATTAGGTTTCATGATATTTGCTCGAATTGAGTACCAGTAAATCGATCCAGCTGAGAATCTTGTCGCCAGGTGCGAAGCCCTCGACTCCTGATCCAACGCTCACCACCTCACCGCTTATATCAGTGCCTGCACTATAACAGACCGAGTTAATCTACTAGTGAAGAAAGCCAACAGCATTGCCAGTGTCAATTGAAACTCCAGACCCTTGCTTGGTTTTAGGCTTCGGTGATACACCTTGCACCTTCTACTTTTCAAACACCAACTGACATGAAGCCGTTGGCAGATTAACTTCGTCGACCAGGGAATGCGGATCACCTGGAATGTGAGGGAATTTGCGAGGAAGGACATACTTCAGCAGGCCGTCCTGAATCCTCCAGTCCACAATGTTCACACTGCTGGCCTCCACCTTCACCAACATGTCGCCTTTCTTGGGCGTTGGCACTGGCACTTCTACATACTGCACAATCAACTTCAGTGGTCGAGAACACTTCCGAAACTCTTAATTAATCTGCTGCGTATGAATATCTCTTCTTAGCTACAGCAGTGTGTTAGTACATCGTCTGAGACCCTTCGGGTCCACTCACTAGATTTTGCTCCCATGGTGGATCAAACTGAGGATCTTCTATGACCCTGCACTACATCAAAAGGTCAAGCATCTGCTCAGAACACCTCAATGACTTGTTTCAAGTCTTGTGTTGAGTGCCGTTTGAGATTGAAACAAAATCCTTTTCGTTGAGAACGCCCATTTCGAAGTACAGACCATATTCGCTGCGAGACTAGATTCACAACTAAACCAGAATTCCCAACTAGCATGTAGCAGCAGCAGAACCAATGAACCCATTTGACGAGATACTGGGTGCTTTCCGCAGCGCTTGTGAGAACGTCTCATACCTCGAGGGCAGAAGGGCCGCCATGATATTTAGAGTACTGGTGGGCGTGCATCATCTTCGCCATCGAATGATCGTCAAACTGGTACAGCAGAATCCACGCGAAGGACTAGTTTGTGGTGAGTGCAGCGGGACGCCACACGACCTAAAATGCAGCGTCAACTAGTCGAATTTAAATGTATCAAATGCAGAACTGAGATCTCCCTCGACACAGAGATTGGTCACTACAAAAAGCTGGATTGGTTATTGCGCAAGAGATTTCGCAAGCTAGTCGTGCAAAGTACACAATGTACACAACATCCATTTTTGATACCTCATGGAGTGGGAGACCACCCAGTAAGCCAACCTACTAAATATCCATGAAATATCAAAATATACAAGGAACACCCAACCAATCAGTAACTGCACCAGGGATCACAGCAGCGGCTGCACTTGCAATTGCAACAGGGCATGCCCAGGCACCCACAGTAGTCCCTGCACCGATGGTCGCCACAGGGCGTGTCCTGGCGACAGTAGTGCGCATGCACCGGAGCTCGTAGTGGCGCATGCATCGGCGGCGAAGCCCGCATCGACGCTGACGCCAGCAACTGAGTCAGCATCGGCCACCGACTCAGCAGCGGCGTCTGGTGACTTCTTCCATACTTCGGATACGTTCACCCATCTTAGCCTGGTTAACTCTGCTTACGTGATCAATCCGTATAATGGACAACTTTGCCAATCGATCCGCTAATCGGTTCTCGTTCCTAGGGACATGATCGATTGTGAAAGCATTAAATTTGCTTTTCAACTCTAAGACTCGTTGGTGTAAAGGTTGCAAGCCTTCAGATCTGACCCGCCAATGCCCTTTTACCTACTGACAAACTAATTTTGAAACACCCTACACTGCTTTTAACTCCAATCTGAGCTATTTCTAATCCCTTTGCTGAGGCAGTATACTATTTCTAATCCCTTTGCTGAGGCAGTATACTCAGCTTGATATCAAGCTAAGTATATATCAAGCACGTAGTGTTTTCTTCCAACCTTTGCTTTATAAAGTGTCCTTCTCCCCTAAGATCTTTAATCACTTTTCTTATCCGTAAACCGTTCCTGCTACTACTGGAGCCATCAAACTGCAAGTTCCATGTTGCACTGTTGCTACTTTGCTCGAGTATGGAAAACCTCGATCCCGTAGTATCCTGACTGATTTGCTATTAAAATTTAACTGGTGCTCCAGAAGACGTTATCAAGCCTTCTTTCATCTTCATACACATTGTCGTGTTGTAACACGATTATATGGTGAAAGATGATAATATAGATCTTATTATAGAAGAGCCAAGTTAAAAAAAAAGGTAGAAAAATATGGATAAAAGATAGGAAGGTAGTAAAATTTTTAGTAGTAATACTGCCTTTTTAGAAAAAATAGCTTCTACTTACTTTGTAGGGCCAAAAATAAGACAAAACAAAGTAGATTGGAAAAATAAATGATATAGACATCTTTAGGAGGAAGTTAAGAGTAAATTCTAGTAAAAATTACTTAAAAAAAACTAGATGTTGATACCCGGAAAGGGCCGGTTATGAACTAGGGCCGAAATCAGACCCTAAGGCACAAAATCGAATCTCTACGGCAACTCCAGGACTCTTTGGTAGATCGAAGAGTGGGATTTGATAGAAGATTGGATAGGGTTTCTATGGGCAATGATTTTGGGTGATTTGGAGTTGATATGACTTTTTAAGAGCTTTGCACAGTCAAGGTTTGTTTCGAATGACTTGAGTTTTATGAAATAAAATAGGGTTTATGTTTTGGGTGATTTCAAGAGTTTTGTAATAGATGTGAAAATGAAATTTTGTGGGTTTATGGTTATAGTTGTGTTTAATATGTGTCGTGAATTTGAGCTTGATCTAATGGTTGAATTGAAGAATATTGAGGTTTAAAGGGGTCAAGGTCTCAAAAAGTAGAATTTTAGGTCTAGTGGGGATTTTAAAGATTTCTTGTAATCTACTAATTGGATTGAAGTGAAACTTGTGTGAGAGGATACTAGATTTATTTTTCTATGTGTATAAGAATTTTAAAATCAATTGAACGGTGCAAAAGAGAGATATTGGCTCTAGAAGATTGGCATCAAGATTGGAGAAGGAGGCCAGCCAATATCCAAGTACATTTTTGAGGTTATCATCAATTTGGTAACTCCGATCCTTTTCAATTTTTTTGTGCTTGTTTTTAACTTGTTTTTTTAAAATTGTGCAAAATTTGAGTTACGATCAATGATTTATTCATTAGTTATTGAGGTTTAAATCTATTGTAGGAATTACTAGGATTTGGTCTAGTGTTTGGTTAGGATTTGGTTTAGGGTTTAGGATTTGGATTAGGATTTGGTTTATGGTTTTATTTAGGGATTAGGGTTTGATTAGGGTTTAATTTAGGATTTAGGATTTATTTTAGATTTGGTTTAGGATTTAGGGTTTGGATTAGGATTTGGTTTAGGATTTAGGATTTGGATTAGGGTTTGGTTAGGGTTTGATTTAGAATTTGGTTAGGATTCGGTTTAGGATTTGGTTGGGATTTGGTTTAAGGTTTATTTAGGATTTGATTTAGATTTTAGGATTTTATTAGGATTTAAGATTCAATTTGTTTTGGCCTAAAGTTTGAATGAAGTTCAATAGGATTTTAACTAGAATTAAATTAAGATTGAATTGAGATGTATTTGAGTGATATTTGTAATCCATTGTCAAGGACAAGAACTCGATGAAAGCTAAAGAGTAAGTGAGACTTTTCTCAAAAAGAAATAGGACAAAATAGAAATATGTATATTAAGAAAGAAACTGGAATGGCTATTGCCAAAATACAAGAAAACTAGAGACCCTTGAAACTAGACTAGAAGCAAGAAAGGAGTTGACAAGAGTGAAGAGGACTTCACTCTTGCCTCTATATATATTATCTAACTAGAAGCCATGTGGCGATGTTCTATAAGACCTCCAATATATGTTGACTTTCTAGGCCACATGCCTTTGCTTGCAAGGCAAGTTTTCTATGGATGGACCACGTAGTTAGCTTGTTCTTTAAGCTTCCAACATGCGTGGCACATGGCTAACTTGTTGACCAAGTTTCTAACCTAAAAGTCAACTATAGACTCCTATAAAGTCAAAGCAGCATCTATGAAGCTTCTAAGAAGCTTCTCTAGAAGATATTACATAATTAACCTACTTTTATCTACTTTTACATACTTTTATCTATTCATATAGGTAATTATATGTATGTCCGTGACATTACCCCCCCTTCTAGGGACGAGTTCCACGAGGAGCGGTGATTATATATTGAGAAAATCTAATATGCGGCGAATTGTATTTGCTACATACTCTGATCTTTGTTCTCTTCGAAGATAGTTGATGGGTCCTCTTAGCCATCGATAGTGTCCCATTCCAGGGCGAGAAGACCACCCTGTTATTTGATCACTGTTGAGGCCTTCATAACTTCCTCAATCTTGTCTCTTTTATAAGAGAGGTTTTCATCTTGGTTTTGATGGATGTCGTTGATGAAAAACTTTGACTTTAGCTGATGCATTTGCTAGATTCCTGGATGGCTCCCATGTGCGCTCACTAATATCATATCCGCACCAATGAACAAGATATTCCATCTTATTTCGGCGCCGCCTTGAGTCTAATATCTCTTCCACCTCAAATTCTTCATTATTATCTACTTCTATAGGAGGCGGTGGCATTTGTCTTCTTCCTTGTATATCCACTGTCTTATATGGTTCAAGAAGAGACACGTGGAATATAGGATGGATCTTCATTGACTCCGGTAGATGTAACCGATATGCAACTGGGTTGATCTGTTCAGAAACAGAAAAGGAGCCAAGCCTACGATAGTCCAATTTGTCACAAGGTCGAGTGGTCTTGATATTGCGACGAAGTAGCCATACCTTATCACCCACGTTGAGTTGTGGTTGCTCTTTACGATATACATCTGCATTTATCTTTTGTCGTTCTTGAGCTTTCTTCAACTGCGCCTTCATTATTGCATGTAACTCTGACAACCGATTTGCCATATCTTCTGCTGCAGGATTATCAACTTTTGAAAAATCAAAAGTATCAAGTCGTGGATGATAGCCATAATTGGCAAAGAAAGATGTTTGTTGCGTGGAAGAATGTACCGTATTATTATAAGCAAACTCTGCCAATGGCAGAAGGTTTGTCCAATCATCTTGTTGGTAGTTGATGGTACACCTTAAATACTGTTCCAAGACTTGGTTTACGCGCTCTGTTTGTCCATCAGTTTGAGGATGGAAAGCTGAAGATAGCTTTATGTCCACTTTTAAAATCTTGAAAAGAGTCCTCCAAAATCTCGACACAAATTGAGTTCCCCTATCCGATATGATATCTTTAGGCAATCCATGATAGCGATAGATATTATCAATGAAAAGCTTAGCTGTTTCTTCACCTGTGATAGATTTTGTACATGGCATAAAATGTGCCATCTTCGTAAAACGATCTACTATCACAAATATAGAATCATAAGATCTTGAGTTTGGAAGATCTGTGATGAAATCCATAGAAACAGAAGACCATGGTTGTTCTGGTATAGGTAATGGCTGAAGAAGTCCGTAAGGTCGATGTCGAGGAATTTTTGATCTTGAACAAATATCACATGATTGTACAAGGTCTTTGACTGACTTCCACATTTGTGGCCACCAAAAATCTCTTGATATGAGTTCCAAAGTCTTATTATATCCAAAGTGCCCTGCTGCTGGAAAGTCATGACGTGCTTGAAGAACACGCAAACGTGCTTTTTCTTCTGGAACATATAGGCGTCCTTTAAAATATAATAGATTATTCTTGAACTCGAACTTAGAAGAATCATGAGACTTGGAAGAATTATTCTCGATATCATGAACAAGAGGGTCTGAGGACATACTGGACTGGATTTGCTTGAGAAAAGTTGAATCAACAGTCAATGTTGATTTCATTGCTCGGAGATGAAATTGCTCCGGTTTCAAGAGGACCGTTCTTTGTTGCTCAAAAGCTGCATCTCCTTCTTTTGGTGCAAAATAAGAACGTCTAGACAGGGCATCGGACAAACCTTGTTGTTTTCCTGGCCGATAAGTGATAATGAAGTCGAATCTTGACAAAGACATACTCCAACGAGCTTGACGACGATTCAACACGCGTGCTGACATGAAATACTCGAGGTTCTTGTGATCTGTATACACAATGACTGGACTAGAAGCACCTTCTAGATAATGACGCCATTCTTGAAAAGAATCCACGATTGCAAGAAGTTCTTTATCGTGGATCTCATAATTGATCTCGGCTGCTGAGAATTTTCTTGAATGAAAAGCTATCGGATGAAGTTTGTCATCTGTTCCCATTTGTGATAAAACATTCCCAAGGCAAAATCCGATGCGTCTGTTTCCATAAAAAATGCCT